TAGAATTGGAATTGAAAAAATTTTCCAATTCTATTATATCAAAAAAATATTTTTCCCAATTTCATTTCTATATCCATTCCTTTCATTTTTGATCATACCAAATGGGCCCTTAGTGGCAATTGCAAAAAACCACCATGTATTTGATCAAACTCAAACTTGCTACTGTTAATAGTTGGTGGTGCCTTGCTGCTACCAAGTTTTGCTGCCAATGTTTTGGCAAGATGGAGTTTGGCAAGTATTGCACCTTTACAAGCATCAGTGATAGAATTTTAAAATTTATCGTGATTACAAATCTCTACCAAATTGAAATTTTGAAAAACGAAAAACAAGAAGAACGGGTGATTTTGTAATATCACGATGGTTTTTATAGTTTTTTTTAACTGCTATTATAGTTTAATTTTTTAAAAAAATAAATTTTGTATATTTTGATTTTTTTCTCTATGCTTTTGTATTTATAAAAATTTTTGTTTAGTAATTTTCAACATATGATAAGACGAAATGGAAGAAGTTTTGTTGTCAGATTTTTCTCTTTTGATAAGAGGATTAATCGCTCCATCTCAAAAATAAAAAGAGTTAATAACATGAAGAGAAGAGAAGCCAAACCAACAAATGAAAATTGAAAGGGGATAGAAGATCTGGAAACCATTAGGAAGAGCAAAAATGAATGGGAGGGGTGGAGCTTTTTTTTTTTTACATTATTTTATTTTGTATTTTGTAAATTTTGTTATATACATTATGTGAATTAAATGGGCACAAGTTATTTGTTGACAAATAAGTGAAGCTTAGGCTTGATTTAGACTGAAGAAAAATGTAAAAATAAAATAAAGAGATTAAAAATTAGAAAGAGAGATTTTTTTTTTGAAAAATAATAATTTTTTTATTATTTTTAAAAGTTTCATTTCTTATTTTCTTTTTTCTTTATTTTTTTAAATCCAAATGAAGGATTAAGCCATTAAGGTATTTTTCTTGCCACAATTTATCATCTTATAACTTGGAAAGGTGTTCCTAAATGTATGTTTGGCATTGGATTTTTAGTGTTTTTTTCCTCTTAGGCTAAATAAGAAAGTGGTTTCTCCTAATAATTGAGAATCTAATAAGGGCCCACGGCTCCTCGATATTTCGGATGGTTTAATTTTTAATTATATTATTCAATTTTTATTATAAAATATTTGTAATCAAATCGTTAAAATTGATAATGTAATTGAGTCATTATATCCATTTAAAAATAAAAAATAATATAAATTTACCTATATCTAAAACTATTAATTACAATAAGAAGAGTTACAATGAAAATTATATCAAACTTTCGTATATAAGTTGGAAAGAAAACATATTGCAAACTTAAGATGGAGATAATTTTTTTAAAAAATGCAATTAATATCCTCTCAATGATTTGTAATAAAAACCATCTATTCTTTTTAAAATGTGCATTATAATAAGGATTAGAAAGTATATTGTGTTTTCTAGAAAAATGTAAAATAAAAATTATCTTTTTTTGCCATAGAATAAAAATTATCTACGTATTACGATTTGAAAGCAGTATTTATCCTATTATATTTTTTTTTTTCATGTATCATACATTTTTTATAAGAAAAAATTGTCAATGTTGAAGAAAAATAAACCGTGGCGACAAATTAAAATCTACTCAAGAACAACAAAAATCATTCTATATTTATAATAAAAACAAAATCACTCTATAAATAAAAAATTAAATATTAAAACCATAGGAGAAGGGAAACTCGTGACTCCACTTAAATGTCACCCCCTCGTCCCCAACCTCTGTTTCCTCCAGGCCCACATCATCCTGTTTCTTAATAATTTCATATATTCATTTATTAAAAAAGAAAATGTTTTATATTCAAAATTAGAATGAATGCTTCAAATGGAAGAATATTATAAATAAAAAAATTGAAATAGATTTGTTTTATGAGAAAAAGAAATGGATTTTCAAGTACACAGAGACGCTCCCAATTTCACTCGTATTATTTATCATTTAATTAAATTTGATGTCTTTACCAATTTATTAGTATCAATTTTATATGTTATATTGATAATGTGATGTGTTAATAATTTACATTTCACAGATTTTAAATTATTTATTTGTAATGTAATAATTAGATACATTTTTTTTTTGTATATAGTCTGAGAATGATAAGGTACAGTATTTACAACTTATAATCATGACTTGTCGACTTGATGTGTATTTTATATTTTATGTGTTATGAATATTTGTTGATAAAACATATTTTTCTTAATTATATTTTCTAAAAAATAAAATATAAAAACCTTAATTTAAATTGAAATTACCTTCATCCAGTGTGTACAACTAAAATCATAGCAAAAATTATAGTAAAAAAAAATTAAAGGTTAAAGTATTCATTTAATCCTTTAATTTTACATAACATTTCATTTTAATCCTTTAACTTTTTAAAGTATTTTTTTAGTCCTTTAATTTTAAAATTGTTAGTTTTATCCCAACAAATTTTTACATTAAACTTTCAAATATTGATAAAATATTCTTAAATGATAACATATTAAGTTTAATTTTTTTTAAAATAATAATAATTGATAGAAAAAATGATCATTTGAAACTAAAAATGTTAGGACTAAAAGACTAAAAAGATACCTTATAAAATTAAAAAACTAAATTAAAACCTTATATAAAGTTAAAGAATTAAAAGTATGTTTTAATCATATTAGTTTTATCTCAACAAATTTTCATAATAAATTTTTAAATATTTACAAAACATTCTCAAATTTTGACATATTAAGTTTAATTTTTTTAAAATAATAATGATTGATATATAAAAATAATCATTTGAAACTGAAAATGTTAAAATTAAAAAATTAAAAAAATAATTTATAAAATTAAAAAATTAAATTAAAATCTTACATAAAATTAAAAAATTTGAAATATACTTTAGCCAAAAACTAAAAATATAGAAACCTTTACTAGAATTCAAGTCAAGGAATAGTGTGGGCTCGTTCTACTGGCCTTTTGATAACGTGGCTTGCACTTTTTTTTTTTAAAAAATTATCTCTCCCTTTATTTGAATATTATTCAAAAGATAACGCTATTTATTGCGCTTTTTTTTTTTTTGGTGATCTGACAGTACTGTATTCCTCTCCATGACATTTGAAATGAATGAGTTTCAAATTTAAATCACATGGGGAGATTAAAGTCAAAGTCTGCACCAATGTCTACAGCAACATATTTTCTTTTGCCATTGAAAAATATTTAGGAGTGGGTCCAATAACTAATGCTGATGTCGTTTTCTTCTACATACTAACAAAAATTTCATATATTAATTTTTAATGTTCATCGATAACGCGACATTTCATAAATTAAATACGAGTGATTAACCTATACTAAATGTTTTATTTTCATTGAATTTTATAAATATTATAGTTTAATTGAAAACTTTTAATTTTTTCAACTTTTTTAAATTTTTTATGTCAAAGTTTATTTAATGATATTAGTATTGGCATTGATATTGATAATGTTATTAATATTGATCAATATTAATAATTTTATAGTATATATTTTAAATATCATGCTTTTTTTTAAATTATAAAATATTTATGAATTTTTACATTATATTTTTATTACTTATGTGTACTCTATGTTAATAAATCATTTATTACTTTATTCAAAAATATTTTTTTAGAAATCATGAGACACTCATATTACTTTTAATATTATTTCATCCATTTAAAAATGCTTTCACCTCCAATAAAGTAGTTACCTACTTTTAAATTAACTTTATCTTTTCATATTTATCCCTATTAAATACCCTACAATAAATATAAAATCATTATTAATAGGGACATTTTTGAAATAAAAGACAATGAATACATTTTAAAAGACTAAAAATGTATTATATTTTTTAGTATTCAACTTCTTAAAAAATGCCTTATATTTTTTAATTGAAGGAATAACTCTTAACAACATTAATAATACACTATAGATTATAGACATTTTCAATCTCATAATTATTTTTTATTTTTAAATTATAAATTTTTTATTATATTTTTAAAATTATATTTTTAGTTCCTAGCATTATTCACATATATATATATATATATAAAATTTTTTAAACTTCATTTTTAGTGAAATTAATTTTCTATTTTCTAAAATGCTTTAACTTTCTTGTAAAATATTGTTAATAATATATATTATTAAAATGTGAATCGGTGAAACAAGAAAAGGTTAATGTTAAGGAATTGGCCCATGATTTTTAAGGTCATGAGATCAAATTTCATCTTTGACGTGAGATTCTTAGTGATAGATAATATGTAATTGCCCCAACCTTCTCACTAGAGTAGGGAATAGGACAAATCTATATTATATAAATTAACTCATATATGAATTGAGAAAAATATGAGTTGGATTGCGTTTAATCCATTTTCATATAAATAGAAAAATTTCAACTAAATCCAATCCTCATGATGGGTGGGCGACTCATTTATTATTTTTTGTATGATATTTTTTTTTTAAATTACATCTAAATGATGGAGTAAGTTCAAAATATTCTATACATTTGAAAAATATTCAAATAATAAATGTATGAGATTAGTTAATTTCATCATGGTTCACTTTAATTATGCTTGTTTTATGGGGTTGTAGCATGAAAAATTCCCTCCAATTTTTATTTTTCAATTTTTAATAAATAATATCAGTTAAACAAGTTAACCTTAATTTATTAGAATTAGCTCATTTGGTTCATATTACCTAGTTCGAGCCCAAAAAAAAAAGCATTTTATTTTGATTAATTTTTTCTCCTAACCGGCCAGACTTTAAAACAAGTTATTCAAGCTAACTTTATTAGCTATTCCTGAGAAATGTTAAATCGGTGGCTTTAATTGATCTGATTTTTGAAGTTTGAACATTATACTAGTTGATGATGATTTTTGAAGTTTGAACGCAAGAAGAGTGCAACCAAACTTTTTCGTCTTTTATTTTCCCGAGAAATGCCTCTCACCTTCTCCTCTTTCATACGCTCCTATCTCTCTCTCTCTCTCTCTCTTCGTTCTCTTTAATTTGAAGTCTCCCACTCGGAGCGCGCACTCGTGCCTGCTCTTATTAATTATTACTGTGTCCTCATACGAAGCCCACGGGGTGTTCTACCAACTTCCCTCCTAATCGCTTTCCTTGTCTCTCTTCTTCACCCAATCTCCTGCGTTTCGTTTCATATTCTATCAGCAATGGCCTGTTGATCAACTCATCATTTTAGGTATTTGTCTCTTCTGTTCTGCTTCCCTGTATTATATTCCTGGCTCGCTTCTGTTTTTCTTGTTTTCGTTCCTTTGGTGCTTGATGAGACTCTCTCTGATTTCCGGTGATTACGGGTTTCCTTGTTTCTTTTTTTTTTTTTAAATTTTATTTCTCTACCTTCCGGTTTTGACTTTCTATTTCGTAGATCTGTTGTTGGTTTGGTCGGAATTACTGTGCATTTTTTGTTTAAGGTTAGGGTTTAAGTCTGTCATGTGATTGGATACAACAGTTTGGTCTTCTGAAGCTGTTTAATCTGCTTCATCGCTTAGATTTTGTTTTTGTTGTTGCTCGGTAAATTGAATGTCTGGTGGTGCGAGATTCGGTCAATGTTCATAATCTGTATGATGGAATAGGTCGTGTTCATGGCTTTTGGAATGATTGTGTGGCCTTCGTTGTCTCTGAGTGTGTGTGTGTTTTCTCATGGATTGCCACTGGGTTGGTTATTTGACTTGCTGCAATGATTTAAAGTGATTTTTTTCCCCGTTGCCGTCATTATATCGATGATTGCTGGTTGTTTCGCCCACCACTCCTTTGTCAGAATATCATGACTTTGTAGTTTTGATTCCTTAGCTTTAGCTTGTTTAGACTACAGTTTGAAATTTGCTAAGCAACTGAGGAGTTTTTTATCATTTATACCCCTTTGTGCAGCATCTTTCTTGTGATTGCACAAGTATTTACTTTTTTTGTATTGAATGCATTATAATTATAGATTGTAAATTTACTTATTTCTGCTCTATTTTGTTGCTTTCTTCATTTGGAGTTGTAGACCTGCTTTTATGATCTCTTTTATTACTTTTCTAGTCAATATGGAGGCATAATGATGGTTGAGAGGCCAGCAGCTATTACTGACTGAGAAGACAGTGGCATGGCAAAATGAAATGTGCAAGGACACAACACACACACACCCCGCGTGCTCTTGTATATATGAGAGCATATGAACCCTGTATTTAAATCTAATTTAATATACCTACTATGTGCTGAAACATGTATGCTAGGGATTTAAAATTGAGGCTTGGCTTGGGACTTAAGTTTTGATGATTGTTGGATAACTCCTTTTTGACGTGCTTGTGTGTGATTTAACTTCATTTATCACTGCTGTTGGAAAATACGTATTGGAAGTTATAAAATTTAATTCTTGACTTTCTGTTGCATGAATGTACTTTGAATTGGTGCTGTTTGCTTGATCCCCCTTCCCTGGAAGGAGATATTATCATACTCTGCCAAAATTCCTGAGGATTTGATTATAGCAATTCAAAATTGTGGAGAACATTTGAATGGCTAATAGAAGGAAAGAAGATTGCTGAACAATGTAAGAAAGTTATTAATATAGGAAGAGTTGGTTAAATGTGTTTCATAACTAAATCTAATGGTCATAATCATAAACCACCCTAACTGGTGAATAATGATGCATCCTTGATCCACCCAATTTTGGAATTGCCTTAGGATTATTGATGGTTCAGGTTTTTCTTGTGAAAATAGTTTTGTTTGGCTGAACAAACAAGTTGACAGATTATGCTACTGGTTTGTGCATTGTGATGAATGTTGTACCACTTGTGAGTGATTGTGAACCCAGATTGTGTGATGATTTTAATGTCAATGAAGATGAAGGTTATTTGGTTTTTGGTTGAACCACTAATTCTGTATTCCTAGGTCTTACTTACCTGGATCTCAGCATGTGATACTTATTAAATTTTTCCATGTTTACAAATTTTATTATTTATAGGTATTGAAGCAAACTGCTGGTTTTCCCCCCCTACAGGGCTGGTGGTTGCTTGTATGAGCATGGCTTCTAGTAATCCATTCTTTGATGATATACGGAGCAAATCTGATGTTGATCCTCCTTCAAATGAAGAGCCAATGGATATCAGCGAGCTAGTGAATGATCCTGCACCAACTGCACTAAAATCTAATGTAGCTGTTACAAGCAGTGTTCGTGAACTTCTAGAGTGTCCTGTGTGCTTGAATGCAATGTACCCTCCAATCCACCAGGTTGTTTATATAATTGATTGTTCATTGTTGCCTTGAGCCTTCTAGCACAAATGGCACCCCACATTCCCTCCCCTCAAAGGGGAAGTTTGTGGTGTCAAACCCCCAAGTGGTATAGGGGGAGTGTGTGTGTGGGGTCCATTCTTCCCTTTGCGGAAGAGTTAGGTTAGGGGTATCCATGATAAAAAAAATTGTTCGTCGTTGTTATCTTGAATTCTATAGATAGTATGTGCTTACAATTTGGAAGTATTGGTCTGAGCGAATTACATACATGCTTATCAGAAGAACAAAATTGGGGACAAGAAAAAATGGGATTAAAAGGGAATGCATAGCCTAACATGAGTGTAAGAGTACCTATTCTGTAGTTCTACAAGTGTTTCTGGGGCATTTTATAATCATGAGCAAGACATGAGTGTAGGAGTATCTGTTCTATAGTTGAATAGATAGAAGTGCTTTTCTGAATCAGAAATCCTATTTTGTTGGGACTGCAGTATTAACTGGATAAAATTATTTCTGAAAGGGGGATTGCCCATGAAAGGATGAACAGACTGGGGGTGATTTTCATTTTGAAAAGTGGTATCTGATGCTTTTCGAAGGTGCTATTTCATTTAAAATAAAATATTTCCAATTTTTTTTTATAGAACATGACAGCTGTTAGCCGGAATGCTGGATGTTGAATAATTTAATCATGATAAGGAGTCATCATTTTCTTGATCTCAAATTTTGTCATATTCATTTTTTTCCCCTTATTTGGGCTTTGTGAATTATTGGTTTGCTGATGTCTCTATAAACTTCTTGAGTTGCCTAAACTAGAAGAGATGGAGCTTGTTTCTTTTGTATACATGGTAGTTCTGCTATTTTTTTGAAAACTGGCGGCAATGTCTATATACAACAACAGAATTTTTGTCTGGCAAGTTTACTAAAGGCCTTCACTTTGGTTTTAATCTTTGTTGCAGTGTTCAAATGGCCATACTTTGTGCTCGGGTTGCAAACCCAGGGTCCACAACCGGTGTCCTACCTGTAGACATGAGCTTGGCAATATTAGATGCTTGGCATTGGAGAAGGTGGCTGCATCTTTGGAACTTCCTTGTAAATACCAGCCTTTTGGGTGCATGGGGATATATCCATACTACTGCAAGTTGAAACATGAATCTCAATGCGCATGTAGACCCTATAACTGTCCTTATGCTGGTTCAGAATGCAGCGTCATTGGTGATATTCCTTTTTTGGTTGCCCATTTGAAAGATGATCACAAAGTGGACATGCATAATGGTAGCACTTTTAATCATCGTTATGTCAAATCAAACCCACAAGAAGTTGAAAACGCCACATGGATGCTTACGGTACAATGTTCTTTCCTAACTCCAATTCTGTTCTTAGTCCTGCTTTCTATGGGCCTTGTAAGTTCATGTCAATGACGATGGATTGTGTAATTTCCCTATGTGGTTGGATGCGCACTTGTCTTAGTTGATGACAAGAGAGAATTGAAACAATCTAATTAGCCCTGCACCTTTCTTTCACTTGATAAATCAAGAACATCCATTATATGGAATTGCTATAACATAGTAATATTGAGTTTCTTAAACTTTTAGCTTACTAAGAAATTAAAAGCTCAACATTGGCTTTGCCACCTCGGGTTCCTGTACAAGTGCATTATTGATACACTTTATAAATTGATATTTGACTGGTGCATTTAATAGTGTAAAGTTTGTGGTGATTGAATATTGTTGGATTTCACCTTGGTTTTATAGGTCTTCAGCTGCTTTGGTCAATATTTTTGTCTACACTTCGAAGCTTTTCAGCTGGGAATGGCTCCAGTCTACATAGCCTTCTTGCGATTCATGGGCGATGATAGCGAGGCAAAGAACTATAGCTACAGTCTTGAGGTGGGCGGAAACGGGAGGAAGATGACTTGGCAGGGAGTGCCTAGAAGCATCAGGGACAGCCACCGCAAGGTTCGGGACAGTTTTGACGGTCTCATCATTCAAAGGAACATGGCTCTCTTCTTTTCAGGTGGTGACAGGAAGGAATTGAAGCTAAGGGTTACAGGGAGGATTTGGAAAGAACAGTGATTGGAATATGGTCATTCTTTACGTTGTTGCTAGCACCGGATCAAATTGGATTAGTTTGTAGTGCAGCCTATTTGTTGTAGTGGTATGTACGAATTTTCTGCTCATTTGCTGTTTTTTTTGTTTTTGGGTAAGTTAGGAGGCGAGGCAATGGCTCTTTGCTTTTCCTGTTAAATACATGAGAAGGATAGTGTATGTAATGAGGATCTCATCATGATATTCATGAATGGAGACATAGATCTTTAGCCTGCTTTATGTGTTGTATTCCGTTCTGGGAATGTTTATAAAGTATAAACTACCTGTTTGGGAGAGAGGGAGAGGACCTATGAATATGAAGCACCTATAAACGTATCTGTGTTTAGATTAGAGTAAAATCAAACCAAAATCAAAAATCAAATTAAATTGAATTAAATTTTTATTATTTAATTTGATCTATTTAGTTTTTCAGTTTGGTTAATTTTTTTGAAAAAAAAATATTTTGGTTGGTTGATTTGTTTCGATTAGTGAAATTTAAAATCAAATAGAATGAACTAATTGAAGTATCATAGATATGTATAATTTATTAATTTATAAATTATGTTTAGTTTGTTAATTACTTTATTTTATTTCATTCTTTTTAATTTTATATTTAAATAAAAGTAAACATATAATGTGATAAGTTAAAATTATAATCCTTCATTAAAATGGGTTACTATCACTTTACAAGTTCAATTTTATATATAAATTTTATTTGTTTTAGTTGAAAAAAAATTGGCTAAAGTTTAAATAATCCAACATAAAATTCAAAACTGAATTAATTGATCAAATTGTCAATTTTCAATTCAGTCCCTAATCAATTTGATTTGATTCATATTTTTAGTATTGTTTGGTTAATTAGTTTTACACATTCTAGTACTGAGTTAAATTGATTAATGCTCACTCCTATTTGTATATGATACAGTACACGTATGTCGCATATTCTTTAGGAATACTTATTTCAAAATGTTGAAATATATTGTGTGTGTGTGTGTGTGTGTGTGTATCCCTGTACGTATATATTAAACTTGTAAAAATTGTCGTGTTTATTGTATCATTCTGTATTGTAGTATTTGACACAGGTACCCATATCGCAGCATTTTAGGAGAGGACTCTCGGAAATTATGGATTCGATCATCTCCGTGTTGTCCAGCCAATTGGCTGGAGGATTATTCTGGTTTTTTTGTTTTTAAAGTAAGATTTGGGTGGGGTTTAGTTGGGTTGCTTGGTGAGGTTTAGTTGGGTTGGTTGTACTGGCCAGATTACGTTGGATGGGCTGGTCCAAGTAAAGACAAATTATTAAGAGTTATTTTGTAAATTTAATAAAATATTTTTTAAAAATTTGAAGTTGTTAGGAAGGTTAATATCTTTGTTGCATTATTTTTTATTGTAATTAGATGTGATTTCTGTACATTGAGGTTAAAAAAAAAGTTGTACTATATATATATATATATATATTATGATTAGTGTAATAAACTATAACAAGCATGGCCATTAGGCTCGCTTAAATTAAAAAAAAATTGAATTAAGAGAGTAAAAATGTGCTTTTTAGAAAATTATATTATAAATGTATTCTTTCCTAAAATAATAGATTATTGAATTATATTACGTTAAGCCTGAATTTTAAAAATTTATGTTGCTTGCATCTTAAATATATATATATATATAGGGTTAATGATGACGTAATGTCACTTCCTATGTATTAAAACAGAGCAATATTACCTTTTTGTATGATGTAATTTTAATTAATTTGATCATTAGTTGATTAAGAAAATTTAAAAAAAAAAAGGCCAGGTAACTTACAAAAAGGATTCAAAAAATTTATAGAAAAGGAACTGTAAATTATGAATACATATTCCATAAAGGAAAAAACTTACATACTTAATCCTATATATTTAAAGTACTTATTTTTAATTAAATCAAAATATGTGAATTTTTTTATAGATTATTTATTCAATACTAAACTTTTATTATTAATACTATCAATATGTTGAAATGCACTTGTCTTGATTTGATTAGATAAAAACATATTAAATGTATAAGGTTAAATACTTAAGTTTTACTCTTCTATTAATACAGGTTAAGTCTCAAGTTATTTTTTTTGTGAATGTCCCATAAATATTTTGATGACGATTGTTAGGTCCAAATAAATAAAAGGAACTAAGATACTTAACCATTATACTTCAATCGAAAAATGAATTAAGAGGGTAAAAATTTATTTTTTCGACAATTATTGTGAAAGAGCATCTTTTAGAAATAATAGATTGCTCAATTTTATTACGTTAAGCTCAAATCTTTTTCATTTATATTGCTTGGATCTCAAAAAGGCCGTACCAAACATATGGACACATTACATAGCAAGGCCCTGGAGTTACAAAAAAGGTGTTAAATGTATAAAAAAAATGAGATGTTAATTTTAAAGAAAAATCAGTTTAGTGGTCCTACAATTTTACATGAAATTTTAATTTGATCCTCATAATTTAAAATATTTATATTTATCCCTCTAATTTAAAATGTTTATTGGGTTGGTTACTATAAAATTGAAACATCTGTATATTAGTCTCTTGGTTTGGATTAACCAAATGACATGGCAAGAGGTGAGATGCTAGTCCTCAAGTCATAATTATTCAATTCAATATCTTAAAAAAGGAAAATAGATATCAATAAGCGTTGATTCCAGTGGAAGAGGTTATCTGATCATTTAGGTAAGAGATCCTGCGTTCGAATTTGTGTGAATATAGAAAACACTTTTGGAAAAGTTATCTTTAATTAAATTTGATAATACTTAAATTTAACTCAATCAAATAACAATATTATTAAAAATAAGACTAGATCTTAAACATTTGAGACCAAGAAACATAATCATCGTCATATGGGCTGGTAATTCAAAAGTTCAAGCCAATATTTTTCATTCAAATGGCCTAAAAACCCATATTTCCATAATCACTTGCAATACTAAATGATAAAAATTAGGAAGGATGAGACTTTTTGTTCTCAGATTTATCATAGTTATTGATTTAATTCTTTAAGTTTACTTTTTATTTATTTGGCTTCTTAAGTTTGTTTCAATTATCAATTTGATTTTTATTATTTAAAGAGGAGATAACATTATTAAAATTTGTTAATATATATATATAGAAATGAATTTTGATGGCAATGAAAAAAAGGAAAAATGACAATAAATTCCTTTAAATTATATAAATGACAATTTAATCTCTTGAAATGCTATAATTTTACTAAAGTTTTTAGAGATTTTTCTGTCATTAATGAATTTATATAAATGATCAAATTGTCCTTATTTGAAAATAACATGATCATAAGTTTTATTTAAATAATCACAACTTCTCTTCTTATTTTCACAATAATGCAAAAATAAATCATAATTTCACATGTTAAATTTTTGATATTGCTATTAGTGTTAGAAATAACAAATACTAATTACAAGTTTGTTTAAATAATCACAATTTTTTTATATTTACAACAATATAACAACAAATCATAATTCCCATGTCAAATTCTTGATATTGTTACAAGTGTTGAAAGTAAAAAATAATAATCACACATTTTGTTTAAATGATCATAACTTTACTTCTTATATTCGCAATAGTATAATAACAAATCATAATTTTATATGTTAAATTCTTGATATTGTTGCAAGGGCAATTTGATCATTTATATGAATTCGTTAATGGAAAAAAAATTTCTAAAGATTTTAGTGAAATTATGACATATTTGAAGGATCAAGTTGTCTTTTATATAATTTAGAAGGATTTTATTATTAGTTTTCTCAAAAGGAACTTTTTCTTATGTTTTGATTTGATTTGCTTTCTAGTTAGGTATACCATTTGCTAGTTTTCACGGATACTAATACATGTATTGGATACGATACGTATCCAATTCGTTGACACTTTAATTTTTAAAAATATAAGATATGACACATTTTTGATACGTATATATATTTATAAAAATACTAAAAATATAATTTTAATTTAGAAAATATTTAAATTATCATACATATATTGTCCTTTATAATTATACCAAGTAAAATATAATCATTAATTGTAGTTTTATTTTATTTATACCTAATTATCTACCACCCAGTCCTTACTAATAAGTATAGTATCAATATTTCTTCCTTCTTGACCATCATAAAATTACATTTCCACATTTTTATAATTAAAAAATGCAATATTTATTTTTTATTATATCCAAAATTTATTTTTTAAGGAAAATTTAGTCTTTGACTTTAAAAACGAATCAAAAAATAATATTAGTAATAAAAACTTTACTATTGCAAGTTTTAATAAATTTAATTTTTTTTAAATTTTTATTTTTTAAGTATTGATTAACAATCTAGAAGTATCAAATATGTATCAAAAATTAAAATTTTTTAAAATTAAAAAAATATTATTTCAATACTTTATGAATATATATTGAAGACGTATCGGTAAATATCAATATCAGATATAATATCGATATGAATATGTGAAGCAATTTAAAGTACCGGTGCTTCATAGACCATTTGCCTTGTTATCAAAGAAATTATTTTTTTGTTACTGATCGAAGGTGTAACTGACTTTTCAAAAAAAAAAAAAAGAAAAAGAAAACAAACCTAATAATTTCTTTTAATATAGGGTCACAGAAAATTGTGTAGGTGTAATGATTAATTCATCTTGGAACATATAAAATTTCTACATCGATCCTGAGAGTGGATCTACAAAACAACTATCACAATTGGAATCACGATACAAGCATTGGTGTCCGGGGTCAAAGAACAACAATGGAAACCATGAGAAGACAAAAAGATTGTTATTAGTTGGACAAAGGACTAGGCTAGAGCTAAAAATTTTAAAAATTGTTGACATGTATATACATATATTTGATGGGCGGCGCATTAAAACTAATAGTGTTCAATTCGAAAATTATTTATATACATTATATCTATAAACTTAAAGTGAAATACTCCCCCCGTTTAAAAATATAGGTATGTTTAATTGAATCTCACCCCTCAATAAAGTTGTTACCTACTTTCAAACTAATTTTATCTTTTCATATTTATCCCTATTAAATATTTGACAATAAATATAAAGTTATTATCAATAAAGCTATTTTTTTTTAAAAAGGCAAGGATTACATCTCAAAAAACTAAAAATATTTTATATTTTTAAATATATAACTCTTTAAAAAATAATTTATATTTTTAAATGAAGGGAGTAATTTTTTGGAGCTCACTTTATGCCCCCTCTATATTGGGTGCGTAGGTATGTCTCTGGACTAGAATATAGTTCAGCCAAAA